ACACACACACACATACACATTGACTAACCTTTGTAACAGTCTTGAACTTTAGCTAATTTAAGTAATAAAAACACAATAACCTATTTGAAAGGCTCCACTTATGATAATACCGAAAACACAATATGTAGGCAGTTACCACTCGAACATGTGTATACACACACGCGTACGCACGCACACACATACACACACACACACACACACACACACACACATACACTCACACACATACATACTCACAAGCTCACACATATAGACATCTCCCCCTACTCTTACACACTGACACAAAACATGTATCAACTTCACTAATACATACTTACACGTATATGAACACGTACCCATACAAACACACACGCACAAATGTGCACCCTCACCTCCAACCACCTTACACACACGTAAACCTCCCCACCCCCTCTCCTTCTGCGCGCACATCATAGGCACTATGAAGAAAGAAAATAAGAAAGGAAAAAAGGTTTTTGTATTATACATGTAGCATGCGTTGGCAGCGGGTAACAATGCATTGTTACAGTGCAGTCGAGGTCCCTTAATACAAGCATTGAGGTTTAATCAAGCTTGGCCCACGTTCGATTCGAAATCCTAGCTACATACAATGGAACCTTGCGTTATGACGGCCCGCTGCGGACAAAAGAGACTGGCAACCGAACGAGCTGGACAAAATCAAAATGAGAAATCCGGTTAACCGGTAAGTTTTGTTAAACGGGATCGCGGTATTGTTCGTTCGTGGGCCAGTGATCCAGATTGATTACCATCCGTTCATTTATTTGTTTGTTTGTTTGCTTGCTTGTCAGGGCGTCTGTGTTTTTTAAAATGCAAGTTGGTTCTGTAAGCCGTGTCACAGAACTATCAGATGAAGGAGCGTTGGGGCAGGGTGCAGTATACGGGATCGATGGAAAAAAAGAAGGGGTTGGGGGGGGGGGGGGTTCGAGAGTAAAAAGTCTACTAACCCCACACCTCCTGATCAAGATTGATACTCCATTTATTGAGCATTAGTTTTTCGTTGGTTTTTTTGTGTCTTGCCCTTTGTATTTGAGGCGTAGGTGGCTAGTGGTAAAACTCTCAGACTCTCAACCTTTAGGTCGTAGGTTCGAATCCTGTCAGGGACCCGATAGGAACGGTACTTTACATAAATTTTCTTCCCTTCACCCAGATGGGAATGGGTACACAGCTGTATCCAGTGAAAGATCTTGTTAGTTTGTTAGTGTTTACGCGTTTAATCAGCTACTTGCACTGTGTGTTTCTCGGGAAACTGAGAATGTTTCTGAGTGTTCTATGGTCTGCTGGGGCAATAGTATAATGTGTAAAACACACAGAGCTTGTTATCGAGTGGGGTTATTCGCAATACAAATGCTATCTATTTTTTTAATGATTTTTTTTCAAGCAGTGGCGTGTCCAAGTAGTAAGCTATATGAGTCAAATCCGGCCAATTATCAGAAATGCCCAAAAGCAACGTATTACAATTCATGGATCAATGGAAAATATGACGCAATGTTTGATAACGCAAGATCAAAATAAGCACATACACAGCTGAAAGTAAACAGGCGTGGCAGGCATTCCCTCCAAAAAGTATACTCCGACAAAACAATTAAAATGGGCTCGTCACATTTCTGTTTGAGTAAAGAGAAACACGTCAACACAATATTGGTCATTTAGTGTTAACAAAAGTAAGACACACAGACAGAAACAATAGAGGGAAAGTAAAGACCTAGAACCTATCAATGGCACCCTCCAACCACTCATGCTGGTCACAGAGGTAAAGTAAAAGATAACAGATGGACAGAAGCACTGAATAGAGACCATGAACTGAATAACGATCAAGATGAAGACCCAAAAAGAAGGTAGCAAGATAACATCAAATAGCGGATGGGTACAACCAGAATATTAGGAACAGCTGATAAATCAGAGTAGAAGTCCTTGTTGGAGGACTACATCCTGCTGTGGACAGAGAGCGACAACGCTCAAGGCTCAAATTATGCAGTGCACAATAAATAAATCAAAGTTAACAAAAATTAAATTATGATGGATACCGGTAATCAACAAACAGGTTCGTTTTGATCCGGTTAAACACGAAATGGGTGCCAGCCCAGCTTGAACTGCAAGCAGTTTATTGCCAGTCATTATATAAGGGCTATTCTGACTCGTTGACAATAGGCGGGCCGGGAAGGGTTTATTTTGCTATGTCCTCCGACCTGTTACTTTCCATTGTTTCGACACTGTCAGCGCAAAGCGAAAGATAACACTCACAAGGGTATGGCTGGGAGGGGTGGGAAGAAGGGAGATGACTCTAGATCTATATGTGTATGTGCGAGTGTATGTGTATGTGTGTGTTTGTGAATGTTTGTGGAGGTGTGTGTGTGTGTGTGTGTGTGTGT